AGGGTAAAAGGGCAGGTGCTTAAGCGCCACCTGGGGCCAATCTGTGTCTGCCAAGCAATGATTAATATGTGAAGAGGAATTGTTAATGTGATATTTTAAGATGTGAAGAGATGGTAGTCCTGCTTCTGTGTTTTGTGTGTGTGTGTGTGCGTGTGTGTGTGGTGGGTGACCCTGAATGTGAACAGACACCTTGCATCTGGAGGGATCATTAGTAAAATAATGGCAACTATTTCCTTCCACAACAGCCTGATTCATTTATGATGTCCCATGCCATGTAACAATGAGGTCATCTTATGAATTCTTTCAGGGTGGACGTCACATTTCAGTTGTGAGAACAGGCAGTCACCCTCTGCCCTGCCACCCCTGTAGAAACAGCGGCCGAGTCTGACACTTAAACATACATACACAGATACAGGAACACTACAAGATTCACACGGTCAAGCCTCCTTAGGTTTTCAAAATTTAAGCGCTAAGTACTGCCATAATTTATAGCTCACACAGAATAAGAACAGGGGTCTCTGTATGTGTATGTGTGTGTTCGGGGTATCACAAGGGAGGTCACTGACCTCTGTGACATGGCAAAAATCCCCATGGGCCTAATTCAGCATTGGAATGGACCTCACAGCGCAATGGGAAGATGCTTCCAACATAATGAAAACAAAGGCCAATTGTGACGCTATTCTCTGCAGGGCAAAAAGCATCGGGCCCCAGGGACAGTTGACTGTTTTGTTGGCTGAAATGAAGAAAGAAATCTGTTGATAAGATTTGTCAGTAGTGACTCAACAGTGGCAGTTTATCTCCCAGTATGCAAAGTGTTATAGTTACATCCACAGTTTTTATCTGCACTTGTCGATAGAAGTGCTGATAATTGATTCTCATTGGACAAATCATTGTCTTTTAGGCGGTATAATGTGCCTTCAAATTATACAAAGTTTCTCATGAACAGACTGGCAAACGGAGCCTCCCATATAACTGTTAGTGCCTCTTGTGTCTGTCTGACTTTGTTACTGTGTAGTGTTAGTATTTGCTAAGGTCAGTGTGTCAGTGTACTACACCGAGTCATCCAGGATATGAGTGATCTTTGTTTTACTGTCGAGTAGAAAGCTCAGCTGTGGAGGCTCGGTTCTAGTTAATAAGGAGCATAAAATTATTATTATTTTTTTAAATGAGATAGGAAAAAGTCTTTGTTGGCGTGATCCGGTTCTTTCATTTGGCCAAAAAGGACTCAAAATATAAGAATGGTATTTTTGTGATAAATCTTTCATATTCTGAAAGTAGACCTCTTAAACCCCTATAGTTTTGGTCAATGTCCACCTGATAATGGCTTTTTAAGCTGTGTGGTGCCAGTCAGGGTCCCTTCAGTTAACAGTCATGTATATTAATCACTACCTCAACCAGCAGCTTGATAACAGAAAGGACAGAAAGGGATTTGAACAAAGCCAGCACTGCCAACAAGAAGGCAAACAAATGTTAACACTACTGCTATTGCCAAAAAAACGCCCATCCCCACAATTTATTGCCCTTTTCTAAGACTTATTCAAGGTTTTCATCATACACCGACCCGCCACGCCTCCCTGCCCAAAAGATCCAGAATGCGTCTGCAAGAGGAGGTGGGGGATTAAAAAATGAAGCAATAAGATCAGGCCTTTCTTTTTCTTAAGAAAGACTAGAAATGAAGCTTTGTGCATGTCTGCTGCTGTGGCACATTTGACAGGTCTGGCTTAGCAGCTTTTGTGTCACCAGCATAAAGGGGATTGAGTGAAAACACAAACTGAACCACCGTGCTGTTGTGGCACTGGCTATTAGTCAACGTGACGGCCTTTGCAGATGCTAATGGTGTATAGTGTGTCTGGGCCGGGCCAGAACGTGGCTATCTGATAGCACAAAGGCCTTCTGCTAGAGGTTGACTTTTCCCCCTTTCTTTTTATAGCTGCTACAGAGTCATTATGCTTTTTTCACTCCTTTTCCCTTGCTTTTAAGAAAATGGGGAGACATAATAGCTGCAGTGAAAACAGCAAGCTGACATGGGCCAGTCATCCTCGTGTGTAAAGCCTCAGGTGATAGTGAGGATGAGGTCCGCCCCTGATATCTCTCCCTCCCCACTGTGCTGGCCTTGGAGCTATGTGGAGATGCAGCCAGACTCTTGTGAAAGAAGACAGGATGCCCATGAGCGGAGGACCTCTGGACTCTGACTTATTAATCAGTCAGGCCCTTAGCTGCATGCCTGCCTGCCTGCCTTAAGCTGCAGCATGTCTTCATTCTGCCCTGGGATGAAATAACGACCTGCAGATTTAAATACTCAGAGGGTTCGCTCAGACCTGGAGCAGAGGCCTCGGCACACAGGTCATTCAGCATCAACAGCAAACTAAAGGAAACAACCATACATATAATGCAAGTCTCCAAGATGAGAGTAAAACAATACATCAATAACTTGTTAGCAAAGTGTTCTCTCCTTTTTTATTTGAGATTTTTGAAGACTGTAAAGTTTCAGGTAAATTGAGTTTTTATCTCTTCAAAACAACATTATAAATATGACTGTACTGTACAAGTATTGTACTGCATATATCTGAAGCCCCTACACTTTAGCTGAGTTGCCCTCAGTTTTATGCTACTTCATAACAGCTGAGGAAAACAGGCTTTTACTCCGCTAAATATACAGTCTTATGCAAAAGTTTAGGCACCCCTTGATAAATAACAGATTTTGGTCATTTTTTATTTGAACAGATGTTAACACAGTTTCTCTTGGAAATGGAAAAAATGCACAATATTTTCAGCAAACAGTGATGCATAGTTACTTCTTATGCCATAAATTGAACAAAAATAAAAAATAAAAACATTATTATGGCATGGTGCAAAAGTTTGGGCACCCTAAGAGTTCCAGAGTCTCAAAGTCTCTCACAAGGTTTCAGACCTTAATCAGCTCGTTAGATCTGATGCACAGCAACAGCTGTCATTGGTAAATGCCAATTTCAAAGCTGTACAAATACTTTGACTCTTCAAACCTTGTGCACACACTTGTGGACACCCAGCAACCATGGGTTCCTCTAAGCAGCTGTGTAAGACCCTGAAAATGAAAGTTATTGATGCCCACAATGCAGGAGAAGGCTACAAGAAGATAGCAAAGCGTTGTCAGCTTGCAGTTTCCACAGTAAGAAATGTAATTAAGAGATGGCAGATCAGGGGAACTGTGGAGGTCAAGATGAGATCTGGAAGACCAAGAAAACTCTCGGACAGAACTGCTCGTATGCTGGTCAGAAAGACAAATCAAAACCCCCATTTGACTGCAAAAAACCTGCAGGAAGATTTAGCAGACTCAGGAGTGGTGGTGCACCGTTCCACTGTGCAGCGATGCTTGCACAGACAAGGCCTTCATGGAAGAGTCAGCAGAAGAAAACCTTACCTGCGTCCCCATCATATAATCCAACGTCTGAAGTATGCAACAGGACATCTACAGAAGCCTGATGCGTTTTGGAAACAAGTGCTGTGGCCTGATGCAGTTAAAATAGAACTCTTTGGACACAATCAGCAAAGGCATGTTTGGAGAAAAAAAGGAGCAGCATTTCATGAAAAGAACACCTTGCCAACTATTAAGCATGGGGGTGGATCTATCATGCTCTGGGGTTGTGTTGCAGCCAGTGGCACAGGAAACATTGCACGGGTGGAGGGAAGAATGGATTCCACTAAATACCAGCAAATTCTGGAAGCAAACATCACACCATCTGTAAAAAAGCTGAAGCTGAAAAGAGGATGGCTTCTACAACAGGACCATGATCCTAAACATACCTCGAAATCCACTATGGAATACCTCAAGAGACGCAGGCTGAAGGTTTTGGAATGGCCATCACAGTCCCCTGATTTAAACATCATTGGAAATTTGTGGGTAGATCTTAAAAGAGCTGTGCATGCAAGACGACCACAGAATATTACAGAACTAGAAGCCTTTTGCAAGGAAGAATGGGAGAAGATCCCAAGTACAAGAATTGAAAGACTTTTAGCTGGCTATGAAAAGCGTTTGCAAGCTGTGATATCTGCCAGAGGAGGTGTTACTAAGTACTGATTGTGTAGGGTGCCCAAACTTTTGCACCATGCCATAATAATGTTTTTATTTTTTATTTTTGTTCAATTTATGGCATAAGAAGTAACTATGCATCACTGTTTGCTGAAAATATTGTGCATATTTTCCATTTCCAAGAGAAACTGTGTTAACATCTGTTCAAATAAAAAATCACCAAAATCTGTTATTTATCAAGGGGTGCCTAAACTTTTGCATAAGACTGTATGTGATATATTTACAATTGGCCCTGAACACAAAATTAACTGAGGCTAACGAATAATAAGGTTTGCAGGTTTGGGCATAAATTGAGCTGATGATGGGGCTAGATGACGTCAGACATCCACCAAAGTTCAATGATTCATTTTTTCAATAAAAAAGAAAAAGCTGCATACTGTAGCTTAAAAAAAAAAGACGTCAGGAGATCATTAAAGTAAGTATAGGATTCGTGATGTGATATTAAATAGTTCAATCTGGACCAAAGTAGGGCTGCACGGTGGCGCAGTGGTTAGCACCGTTGCCTCACAGCGAGAAGGTTCTGGGTTCGGGCCCCACCCGGGATCTTTCTGTGTGGAGTTTGCATGTTCTCCCCGTGCTTGCGTGGGTTCTCTCCGGGTACTCTGGCTTCCTCCCACAGTCCAAAGACATGCAGCTTAGGTTGATTGGTGTCTCTATATTGCCCATAGGAGTGCGTGTGCCCTGCGATGGATTGGCGACCTGTCCAAGGTGTGCCCCGCCTTCACCTGATTGCCGGCTGGGATTGGCTCCAGCCTCCCCGTGACCCCGTTCAGGGACTAAGCGGTAGAAAATGAATGAATGGACCAAAGTAGTGATGTGGCCAAAAGGCACTGCCATGTCTAGAGCCAGGCCACCAGCATACTGAGCTGGATCCAACAGCGGGTGACTTCAAAGGTGCAAATAGGTTCATTACAGACTGGACAATCTGATGAGTCATTAAAAATGTCATTTGTCAATTTTATTTTCATTTTTGCCATTTAAGCACAAATTTAATAAATAAAGCACACCGGATGGGTCACACCATGCAAACATTACTTTCTACAACATGAAAAATTTCTTTTGACCAACTCGCCAATACTTTGTTTACTCGCCATACACTGTACATGATAGTAGCTCCAAGACTTCCCATCAACTTTATCTGTACAGAATGCTTGGCATATTGTATATATACCCATATACATGTATTAAAGAACAGGGTTAACACAGTCTCTTGCCTCCATTTCAATCAAATATATGACAATATTTCAAGCTAGAAATAGTGAGTGCATGTCTAGAATGGTGATGAACAGAGTCAGCATGGTCCAAATGATGGAGGTGCAAAGAGAGTGGTGAAGCACAAGATTGGGAATCATCTGGCTCTGAACTGTGACTTATAAAATAATCAATGAGTTGCCCAAAGCACACATAAAAAGAGTCACCCACCTTTTTCTTGACTATAAGGAAAATTTCTAATCATTTACAAAGTGAGCTGATGATTTTTATTGAAGCAGTGCGATACATAACATCGCAATGCCATTACAATCACAAACAAAAGAGAGGAAGAGTGGTTAAGTACAAGTGGGCCTGTGCTGTGTACATGTTAATAGACATATGTGTCCTGCTAAATGAACAAATCACATGAACCCTGGTGCAGTTTGGAAACGTAAAGACAACTCACCCACCCCTGTGTAGCTGTACCAACTGATCAGGAAAGACTGGATACTAGACAAATAAAGACATGAGAGCAGGTGGAGACACGGACTGTAGCGACTGACAGATAATGGAACAGCTTCTCAAAATCAAATGAAAAGTGCCTTAAATTTGGTTGATGGTGTATTTTTATATGGTTATTATGACAAATGATGGGGCTAAACATTATAATTACTGATACTACTGAGTTTTAAATATTACAAATAACAATGTAATATATTAAAATACATGATTGTATCCCAGAACACCCTGAATTTGGTTAATTCTCATTTTTACTCTATTAACAGGCTGTATTATCTGTCAGGTGCAACATGAGGAGAGCATACAATACATACATGTTAACATAAAATGGTAACTAAAAGGTGAGTTAGAGGTATGACCCGGGCATTGTGTGCATTTGGCAGAAAAACTATATTTGTCACGTAATTCCCCTTAGATCAGAATAATAAGAAACAAAATCTATATGCAACATAGTCTCTATCACCTTCATTGCTGATCATGTCCTGTTAATACAACAGAGAGAAGGCTATATATCGAACCAGGCAGTCACTTTTTATTCTTCAAGTCTTTAGGTGGGAACATTTTGCTGGAACTAAACTGTTTCATTTAGAGGTATACACGGAGTATATGGAAAATACAACTACAGCTTGAAGGGATGACTGAAGGGTTCAGGATCCTACATGCAAGCGAAACTTCCTGGTGAACATTAGACACACATTCTGTGTCTACTAGCTGAAACCATCTACCAAGACCTGTGTCACTGGTGTTTATACACAGATCAGTGAATATACAGACACCACTAGTCGAGAGGGAGAAAAATCAAATAAAAAAAAAAAAGAGTGGGAAGATAAAGGTTTACACAGTCTCCATTTATTGAAAACAAACAGTCTGATGTCTGACAAGAGCAAGATTCTCAATTTCCTCCTGACTTGACTGTGTTTGGACCCCTGTGCAGAAGAACCCCTCTTACCTGGAACAGCTTGCATTGAAAAAGAAGAAAACTTGAAAACTGTCAGGTCATTCTTTCCACCAGTGTTTGGAAGTCAAGGAAGCCAAGCTGTGGGAACTGAAATCAGGTGAGTGGTGGGCCAGGGGTGACGAGGTTCTTTAACAAATTTAGTTGTCATCATTCAGTGCGTTTCTATATGTGATTCAAAAGTTAACTTTCAATTGATCTGTTAAGAAGACAGAAGGAGAGAAAAAAATCAGGTGCTTACAGCAACCACAGTGTAATTATTTAAATGTTTACATTTTAAATTGTAAAATTTATTAAGAGATAATACCTGGTTCTCTCATTTCTCCTTGTGAAGAGCTTCTATAAAGGCTTCAAGTTTCTCCTGGATTTCGCGAACTTTCTCTGCAGAAGCACACAAAGCTTGGTCAAAAATACACAAAACTGACATGCACACAAAAACATTTTAACATTTAATTCACCAATTAGCCTCTGAACAAAACGTTGAATGCCAGTGCTTTTGAAAATGGATTAAATGTTTAGGTAATTTTTCAAGCTTTCACCTGTTAAAGCTTTATGAATATGATGATTTGCTTTTCCTTATCTTCTACAATAGTAAACTGCAGTATAGCTACTGAACAGATGGATGAATGGATTCATTATTTAAGTCAAACAGAGGAGCCAAATGTTCTTTGGTTACAGCTTCTAAAATGTGAGGATTTTATGCTTTTCTGTGTTTTAAGTATCTATAAAGATCTGGTTTTGTACAGTTGGCTGGACAAAACAAGATATTTGAAGATATCAGCTTGGCCTCTGTGGAACTGGAATGGGTGTTTTATTTATTTATTTATTTAAACTATTATCTGATGTATAATGGACAAAACAATTAGTCAATTAACAGAGAAAACAAATGCTGGATGAATCAACAGTGAAATAATCTTCAGTTGCAGCCCCTTATTTTGGCCTGCTGGTCTAACAATGCAAAACATCTGAAGATAACATACTTGGCACAAGAAAAGCATATTTATTTTCTGTTCTGTAGCATCATATAAAGGAAATAAGTCCTTGATCATCAGGGAAACAACTTAAATATTTCAGGTGATTTCTAAAGCATCAGTCAGCTTCCATTAAACAATCTGAATCTGAATACTCACTTGTGTGTGTGCTTTTTTTGGCTGCCTTTCTGGTTTAGCATGTGATTACATTATAATAACCACTATGTGAAACAACATCAGCACCTGGTTATATGTTTTTAATAAAGCTGTTCATTAAACAGAGAAACGAATGAAACTTGAATATAAAATATGAATGTCTAGTGCATTTCTGCAGGTAGAAATTCCCTCACATAGTTCAGAAAAACACCAGATGGTCTCCTCTGACAGTGACAGCCAAACCTCAAGGCAGACCTCCATCACACATCTGATGGTGAAGGTTTATGCACCCTTTCCCAGTTAGCAAAGACCACATCAAAGTTCCAACCCCCCCTTTTCATGGCATGTACCTCCCGGGCACATTTCTAATGGACAGAGGGAGATACCATAACAACAACATTCAACATGAAAAGGGGGAATCTACTGGAAAAACCGTCCGTCACTGCTTTTCATGATTACACTCCTATTGTCCAAAGACTGCATAAGACGAGCAATCCTTCCACCCAACGTGTACTGTCACCCGAGATGAGCGAGCCATCTAAAGCAGTCTTAATCGCTGATTAAACAGTGGCTGAAGGAAGTCGGTGGGCCAGTGTAGAGAAAAAGAAGCCATAGCTCGCAATGCCAGCTGCACCTCCAGGCCTGGCTGGCTCTCCAGCTTCCCTGTCACCCTCACTAATCTGTCTGGATCTCCCCCAAGCACAAACTCAAACACCAGCTCTGAAGAACAAACTAGGCTTGCTCTATCTTGATCAATCAGGCACACAAAGTCCATAGGCAACCTATTGTGGTTTGTTTTCCTTGAAGTAAGTCAGATGAAAACAGCGCTTTAAAAAGACTTGTCCATTTTCAGAGTGATAAATCATTGTGGTTGGGACTTCAGAGTAGTAGTGGCCTAAGTGTCCATTTCATGTCAGCACAAAGGTGATAACTGCTTGCGTGCTTTGGAGTGAAACTAAATATCTTGGGGGCTTACGTGCAGCCCCTTTGATGGGAGCACGGCTGTTGAGGTATCCTTTTCCTGATAGATGAAAAGCAAACGGGTGTTAGAGATGCAGGCATACCCCCACACACGTCCTGAAACACTAGCAGAACTGAGAAGTGACACACAAACTCACACAGGTAGGCAGAACTGAGAAAAACTGAGTGCCAGCCATAAAGCTTGGCCCTGAATGACATACATGACCACCCCAAGAGCTGTGCAGTTATGCCACCTCCAACTCTTTTCACCTTCCTACACACTCACTGCTGGCAGGTGGTTAAAAAAAAAATCCCAAGCCTTTGATACTCTGTTAACACAGTCAGGCAAAATGGCAGGGCGTTAGGGGGAGATTACAACACCTAATGGAGGCATTAAGGGGCCCTGTCAGTGGCATGCTGACAAGTCACTGCAGCAGGTGTGGAGCTGAATGAAACTTCACCCTATGGCTGACTGTTCCAACAGGCAGCCCACCGCAGGGCACAGCTCAAAAGCAACTGACAGTTCAGCCATGTGGGCTGTGAGCCCTGACCACAGGACAACATAACTCAATCCAAGGCAATCAGAGCAGGATTATCAACATCTGTCTGACTTGAAGAAAAGGAGACGTGAGGTATGGTGTGGGGTGTGGAGTTTTGGTTGGTGTAAGGAAAAGAGGATACTGACTGTCAGATCAACAAAATACGGGAAATCCCCTGGCTCAAGCTTCAAAGCCTCTAACTGGGTTTTGGCGTCACTAATGAAAAGGTGCTCTACGGAGACCTCTTTCAGATGCAGACTGCTTATCACAGGTCAAACATTAAGGGTCATGCCAGCTGTTGGGGAGAGATGCCAAGCTCTGCTAGATCACTAGGGCCAGAAGTGATCTAGAGGTTAGATTAGAGGGCTTGTGATAAGAAAAGACACTGGTCTGAATCCCAAGACTGGCAGAGAAAACTTATGATGGGAGGATGAAAATCACTCATTTTCTCCAACAGCTGCTGCTGAGGCAAGTGAAACCCATCGGTGATCCAGTGCTTAATTCGAGCACAGTTCAAAACTTATAGGCACATTTTATTTTTATTACCAAAAATCATGTAACAAATGTTTGATTTAAAGGACTTCTACAATTTACAAATGACTGAAATTAGACAAATCCACACAAAACCTATAACAGAAAAAGAGATAAACCTAACAAAAAGAAAGCTAACAGGAAGGAACCCTCCATCAAGAAGGACAGACGAAACAGATGGCAGACACTGTTAGGTAATGTTAGGCTGACTAGTAGGTTCATCTGGTCGTCTTTCTTTTGGCTGTCTAGTAGTGAGCAGAGCTTATGCTTATGCATGGTAGCATTCTGGGGTGATTACTGTCAGCCTGAGAGAGAGTCTACACCTTCCTAAGAAGTGGCCAGCTGACTAGTTCCACATTCTTCCTTTTGGACAAACCACAGACACCAAAACCTGAAGAAGAAAGCCATTGTTTTGGCCAGTCCAATTGGGTTTAAGCTAGCTACTGATGACAACCTCAAGGTAAGCCTTAAACAACCCACTGCCAGCCAGCCTTCAGTCTCTTTCCTTTCTCTTCATCCCTTGCAGTGAGTGCAGAAGTGCTTGGAGTGAGGAATGTATGTCTGTCACAACATACAGTAGCTAAAACGACCAGCCATCAATGCTGATATAAAGTCAAGGTTACGGTTTAATTGTGGTAGACTACCTGCACATTAAAGATCCTCAATGACATTTCTAAGATAAGCTGTCATAAATGAAACTGTTAGGCCCATCAACTGTTCTCTTAAACCAGGATGTTTAATGGCTTTAAAATGGGCCCTCAACAGCTATAGTATCAGGATCCCAGGGAGCCACAGGAAGATGTGAATGACATCTTTCAGAAAGCCAATATTCAGTGGATAAGACCTGTGAGAAATGGATATTTATTTCCCACAGCACCATCTGTTTGCCACCAAAGGACAGCAGCAAGAGGAAGAAATGGCCATAACAAGGCTTTCTTTTCGCTGTCCCATGGAAAAGCAACAAAAGAAAAACAACAACTGTGGACAGTCACCATTCCATGTTCCTCACTGAGCAGAGGGAGTAGCGATATAAAACTCCATTTAGGCTCCTGTTTACCTAAGAGATGAGCCCCAAAACACAGTCATTCAACTGCTCAACCCTTTATCTGGTCATGAATATTCCCATAATCCTCTGGCCTCTATCCCAGAGGCCCCTTCTTTAAGATGCCGGGTGTTATGTGGGTTGCCGAGGGTGAAGGGACTGTAGCCCATTCAAAGAAAGAGAGGGGAGCCGTTTCTCCCAGTCCCCTCTTTCAAGGCCTCCTTTTGGCTGATCTCCACATGAAATGATCTCTCATTCACTCTCACTCTGTAGAGTCCCCAAAGCTCGCTACAGCTGAAGCGCGGCCAGAAGGACGGCTGAGCCAGAAATCGTCTAATTGACCTGTAATTAGACTGTGAAACTATATGGCCCTGCTGGACAAGTAGCCACCACAGTGAAGAGGGAGAAGTGAGGAGAGACAAATGAGAGACAGGCTTGCATCTTAATGTGGGACAGACTAAAAATAATCCTCTTCCTATTGGACATTGCCACTCTTCTTCACTGGACTTGAAAGATAGGAAACCATAAATAAAAGGTGCCTGTTATGGAGACGTGGCAACAGAAAGATGCCAAGGTTGAGGCTGCTTTAACACACTGCTTTGAAATTTCCTACAGACAAGAGCATGACAGTTCACAGCATGGTCACTAGAGAGAGTGGGGTGCAGGGTCTGCTTCCCGTCCCCACCTGTCATCATTCACGAAGAAACTTTTTGTATCTCATGATACCAAGGTCATAGTGTAAGTGGGGCCATTGAATGTTTAAATGCTCTGTCGTTTCCTTCTTTGAAAAGTGATCTCTTAATGTAACAAACAGCAAAGCCTTTTGCCCCTGCATGTAGCTTGATTTGTCACTAAATCTGGATTGTCCTGCTATAAAAACTGGGCCATGGGAGACATGGACACAGGGAGAGAGGGGATGTTGACAGCCCAAACACCATGTCAGTAACAGAGCAATGAATCAACCCTCA